GGGGCTCAGGTTGCTGGTGCAAGAGTCCTCTCATGTTGAGCTGAGAGATGCCAGGGCTCTTGTCCTCTTCATCTTCAGTGTGGAATTCCCCCACCCCCCAGCCCTGCTTTCCCTAGGAGACAAAATCAAAGCTACCTTGATAGAAAGCAAAGCAAGAGTAAAGCAAACAGTCCGTGAAAGCTTGTGGCTATTTGGGGCAAATTCTTCACCCAAGGGTAATTTCCTGATCGTTCATGGGATCCATATTTGCCAAATTAGACTCAATGTGGGAAAAATATTTTTCATCCTTGTCCTTAAATATTGGCTTACAAATGATACTTTATGAAAAATCAGCATTATATAGCAAAACGAAAAATTAAACATTGAGGAAAATATGTTAACTAAGCATGAGAACACATGGGAAAAGGGTTAAGTGTCAAGAAGACAGCAAAATGAGACACAAGCGGACAGAAAAGACGGACTGACAGGTCCTCAGAAGTGAAGGGAAACCAGAGGCTGCCACCAGTATGTCAGTCCTGAAAGGACTCGGTTGCCAGCAAAGACATCGTTCAGATACTAGGAAACGAGGGTGATGTTCAAGCAACAGAGCTTGCCGCCAGCACATGTGTTATAGGTACGAGTAAACGGGCAAATAAATACGTGGAGGAAAGCGCCGAGCGGAGCAGCTGGGCAAACCAAGGCTGGCCATCACCGTGGAGAACTGTCACTGCCTGAAAGAACCGATCATTTGGTATTATCAGTTTGGGGAATGGGAAGATATCCAGTCAAGCTCTTTGTATTATGTAGAAGAACGATGGTGACTGCAGGTCAGAGGCACTGCCCATAGAATGCCTGAGATTCCCTAACCTGCAACTTCTCCTTTATGATTGCAGCTCAGTGACACTGCATTCTGCTGTCAGGGCATCTGCACAAGGGCAAGGTAGAGACAGCCAGGCCTGTCTCCCTCCACATGTCTGGGGCTTCTGTATGAGACCGGAGGACTGGGGCAGCTTGGGATTGCCCTGTAGAATAATCCGAAGGTCATCTGCTCCTGAGCCTTGTGCTAGCTGGAAATCTACACTAGAGCTCATAGTGTGTCTTGTCGTCATCACCCAGATTTGTGTCCTCAGGAGCATGGCCCTTTTACGTGGCATCTCGGCATGCAAGGTGGAAGATGTCTGGCCATCTGTTGTCACTAATGCTTTCTACCGGTTATAAGATTGTCAGAAGCCGGGGCTCAGCCTCCATCCTAGAGGAGAAGGGCACCTGACGACATTGCAGAGGTGAGCACAGAATCGTCTGGAGAAAGGCAGTGCCATTTTCGAGCAATGCAAACATTCCCCACTTCCCCTCGCATGTGGGCATGGCTAGTCACAACTCCTTGCGTTTGTATGGGAGAATTTGCCTTAGGAGCAAAACTCCCCATGTTCTCAGCTTTCCTGGAGACGATGATAAGGATCACAAAGAGAGTCTTTCTGGACTTACTATGTGGCTGAAAACTGGCACTAGGAAAGCACTATGGGCATCAGACACTAGGACACTGCCTATGACCTTGCAGTATGACATAGTGGAGGGTGCAGTGCTCAGCGCAGTATCTGGGGACACTCGAGAGCTTGTGTAATGACGCCAGCATGCCTTGGCAAATCTGCAATGCATCTCACTAAGTGCAAGCATGTTTGGGGACCTACTTATGCACTTGAGGAGATGGGCAGTACAGTGGAAGTGCTGATACTCCTGTGACCAGCACAGAGCCTGGGTTGACCCACGCAAGGCCACAGAGCACCACCTTCCATCCTGCTTCCTGTGGGTACCCATCCCAGAGTCTTTCTGTGAAGCAGTACTCAAGGAGAAGGGTACTTGGACTCTGTTTTCCTCCTGCTCAGACTTCTCTCTCAAATCTTCCTAAATGCCCAGCAAGCACAATTTCCAGATTTCTCTGATAATGGGAGCTGAAGAGCTTGCCAGATATCGGACATCAAATGCGGGAGCCAGAACGAGGGTCCATCTGTCTGGCTGTTCAGGAAGGTGTTCCACTTACTGCTACTCCTACAGCAAGTGTCTCAGACCCAACAAAGAAGAACTAAGGAGTCCTGAGGGAGCCTGCAGACTACCCCCCCAACACACACCCAGCAGCCAACGAAGTGACTGGCACTCCACCAGCCAATATTCCCCTTGTGGAAAATCCAGACTCCCAAGCTTTCACAAGAGCTCCTCTTACCAAAGAGGACCCTAAAGAAGGGAAACTATACCAATCACAGAAAAATATAAAGGACAAACCTGCAAAAGTATCTACAAACTGAAACATCATTTTCTGAGGCTGTGGCTCTTCCTATAGCAAAGGCGGAACACCAGCGCCACCTTGTGGAACGATGTATCATCACCCATCTAGAATGCTCCCTTGTCCAGGCCATTCATCCCTCAACCCGCCTGGCTCGTCCCTGGCATCCTACCATGCATCTGTGCCAGGGCACTGGTGAAGTCCTGGATGGACAGTCTCAGCTGCTGCAGAGCCTGGAGCAGGGCATCCCAGTTGTGCTGAAGAATGGCCTCCACTCCCTGAACCAGGGCCTGGGGATGAGATTCACCTTCTCAGTCCATGTGTTTCCTGAAAGTCCATTGAGGCAGAAGCCCAGGGGTTCAGCCCACACTGCTGGATGCCAGTCAGCTCCTTGGGAGCATCAGCCATGAC